CATTTATTTCATTATCTAAAAGAGATTCATAAAATCTTCTTGATGCTTAGATGATTATGCTTCATATCATTTGAGATTTCTAAACTCTGTAACTGATCACATAATTCTATTAGTATAGTTTAACACACAAAATCTGTCATGAATGCTTCTTTATGAAGATCAGTGACAACATATCTAGAAACTCTAGATACTGTTGTAGCAATATAAGTTATCTCTCTCTTTCATGATTCAATCTTTTTATAACCATCTCTCACTCAATCTAATCCCACTTACAAACACTGTAAATCATTGTCACATTATCTGCATCATCTGATACTTACAATTGTTCTGTTAATTACATTTTGCAGTGGGGGTTTTGATCTTATTTATAGACTGTGAGTTTAGAGTTTGAGTTATGTAAGTTATGGCATATTTGTTTTGATTTATAAGTGTTACATCATATGTAATGTAATGTATGATGCAGTATGATGCAGTATATTATGCAATACTTACAATAGTTTTGTAAAAAGTAGTTATACTTTTTAGAAAACTAAATTATTATATGAGGCATTTTATAAATTCTGATTTCAGTGACTAATACTTTCTATAAACCAGAATATCTATGATGTAGATTTATAGAAAATTGATATAACTGATTATAAAACTTGTTAAAGTTGAAATTGTTGAATATGATGTGCAATAGTTTATTAATCTTGAAAATAAACTATGCAACATTGAATTTTATAATATTATTGATGATGTCATATATGATGACATTCTATATGATGTAGTATTATATTATGATGTAATTTGCCATCTCACTTTATTATTCTTTTCTTGATTAATAATTGATACAAGCAATACTATGATGGTAATCTTATTGCTGTAACTCTATTAGAAAATGAAGTTTAAAATAAACTTTTATAAAATAAAGTTTAAACTAATCTCAAAAGAGTTATAGATCAAACTTTATATTTAATTAAGATTTATGTATATAACTCTCTATTTTTTTCTTTTCAACAACATTCTTTTTTTTTTTGATAAGAGTTCTGGACAGGCATTTCTTTCTTGATGATTATGAATCTTGAGAGACTTTGTAAACAGCTTTTCTCAGTGCTAACAATTCATGCAGAGAAATAATTTTGCTGTGTTCTCAGAATTCTCTCTTCTTAAAGATGTCAAAATGTGAGCAACAGTGACTCAGTAAGTTTGAAGATAAAATTTCAACTAGTTACTGTTCAGGACTGTTTTCAGAAACAATAAGAGAGATGTTTTCAGAATTTTCTGCTTCATCTGAGTCAGAATCTTCAATCACTGTTATTTCATCAGAAACTTAAAGTGAGAAGACATCACTGTCATCAGTCTCTGTTTATTGATCAGACTCAGACACTTATATCTCTGAGAACTTTGAAATCTCTTCTCAGACATCATAATTCAGTTAGTCTGCTTTCAATTATGATGAAGTAAGTGATGTTTCTCAATTTTCTTCTTCTTTTAGTACTTTATAATTGCTTTTATAAAGTCTGAAATATTTTTTACAAAGTGTTTTCTCACTTTATAATTCTCTTTCTGTGTGCATGACTAAAAACATATTCAGAGAGTTAATGTTCAGATTTGATGAAAACACTTAATGATGTCTACTATGTCTAGTAATAATTCTTTCTCAACTACTAGCTCTGTTGTCTCAGTTGATTAGATCTTGAGAGAGAGTGATCACTCATCTTTCAGATCTGAAATTTTATTAATAATGCATCATTTTATTTTTCCCAGTCTGATCTGTTTCTATTACATTCTTATTCTCAGTCTGTGCTCTATTTTTTGCTACACTTATCTTTCAGTATTGATTCTGTCTCTAATATACTTAAAATATATTAAATTGCTCCAAAGTCTCTATCTCATAACATGACTTACAAGACAATTCTCACTTTGTAAACTCATTTATGAAGTGATATTGAGAGTTTCAGCTAATGCTTTTCTTTTTTAGAAGTTGATTTCATTTAAGTCTTCTCTGTCTGCTGTGTCTGCTTCTGCTTCTGCTTCTCTGGCTTCTATCTCAGCTGTTAACTTATCAGTCAGAACATCAGTTACTATAAGTCATTTTCTGTTTTTGATTTCAGATCAGAATTCTAGACTGACTGTTGAAGTTTCTTTAAGATCTTAATGAAACAAGACTGAATGTCAATTTCAATTGAGTTGATTCCAATCTCTTCTTAAAATTTGAAAATTGGTCTCAATTCCATCTCAAAATATGAAAACAAGTCCCATTCTCTTCTCAGTTTCAAATTTTCTATGTTATGTCCCATTCCTAGATTTCCCTATCTCTAAAACAACTTTAATTTTTTTCAAACTTTATTTTGAAAGTGTATTTTTACACCAAAATATGACAAAATAGAACAATTGGCGCATCAAGTCAAAATGCATATATACATTTGTATATGATTTTGGTACTAAAAATAGTATAAAATAAGGTTGTATTTTAAGTTTAGAAAAATTGGAGATTCCTATCTCTAATTGAATAATTTCAATCTCTTTAAATTAAGTTCCATTCCCATCTCAGTACTTGAAACTCAAGTTCCAGTTCCATTTCAGTTTGAACCATTAAGTCCCAGTTCCATCTCAATTTTCCATTAGTTCATTAGAAATGAAATCTCAATTGAGAAATCTCTGTTTCTGCAGGCAGACTAGTCTAGTAAGACAGCATCACTGCCATTAGTCTCTGTTTATTGATCAGACTCAGACACTTATATCTCTGAGAACTTTGAAATCTCTTTTCAGATATTATAACTCAGTTAGTCTGATTCTGATTATGATGAGATAAGTGATGTTTCTCAATTTTTTTCTACTTTTAGTGCTTTATAATTGCTTTTATGAAGTCTGAAAATTCTTTATGAAGTGTTGTGACTCATGAGCAAGTCAATGTGTAGTAGAAGCTCATACAATGAAAGATTAGTTAGAGAAATATACTTACTAATAACTATAAAAATATATATAAATATATAAGTATATAGTTATATATAAGATTTTGGTGAATGAGTAGAGTGAGAACAGTGATAATAGAGTTCAGAAAACAATAGTATAGAAGAAGTAGTCAATGAATATTTAAAGAAGTTGTTGAATTGTTCTGTTAATTACATTTTGCAGTGAGGATTTTGGTCTTATTTATAGACTGTGAGTTTAGAGTTTGAGTTATGTAAGTTATGAAGTATTTGTCTTGATTTATAACTGTTACATCATGTGTGATGTAATGTATGATGCAGTATGATACAGTATATTGTGCAATACTTGCAATAGTTTTGTAAAAAGTAGTTATACTTTTTAGAAAACTGAATTATTATATGAGACATTTTATAAATTCTGGTTTCAGTGACTAATACTTTCTATAAACCAGAATATCTATGATGTACATTTATAGAAAGTTGGTATAACTGATTATACAACTTATTAAAGTTGAATATAATGTGCAATAGTTTATTAATCTTGAAAATAAACTACACAACATTGAATTTTATAATGTTGTTGATGATGTCACATATGATGACATTTTATATGATGTAATATCATTATGATGTAATTTATCATCTCAATATTATTATTCTTTTCTTGATTAATAATTTATACAAGCAATACTATGGTGGTAATCTTATTGCTGTAACTCTATTAGAAAATAAAGTTTGAAATAAACTTTTATAGAATAAGATTTGAACTAATCCCAAAAGAGTTATAGATCAAACTTTATATTTAATCAAGATTTATGTATATGACTCTGTAAATGTTATAGAAGTTATACATGTTATACACATGTTATTTAAGACAATATATAGTATATAAATTTGATTATATTTAAGAATGTTATATTCTCACATATCAAGCTATTTTGAAAGAGTTAATATTACATTCAGACATAAATAAATTTATTATATTCCAAAGAAAGTAGAGTTGAAAAAAGTAGTTATAAAGACTGAAAGAAAGAATTTAGCTGCAACTCTTAAAATTGATAAATAGTATTATTAATATAAGAAAACATTTTCTTTATTCTTAAATAAATTAATAAAGCTCAATTCTTTCCTTTTTCAAAAATTATAAAAATGAAAGCAAAAATTATAGAAAAAAAGTAAAAAATAAAAAAAAAAAATATAAAAAAACAGAAGAAACTATATTAAAATTTAAATTATATTAAGAAAGAATTTAACTACTAAATATGCTGAGTAGTATGTAATTTATAAAAAAGAATAGTTAATGAAAAAATTTTTAAAAAAATATGCAAAGTTCTGAAGTAAATAGAACAGACTTTAATATGAAAAAACTTAAAAAGAGAAGATTATTTAAAAGATCTATTAAAAAAATTTAATATTGGAAACTTCTATTCTGTCTACACACTCTACAAAGTCTGTAATATTTAAAAAGACTTTATAAAAACTCTTTATAACTTTAATAAGTTTACAATTGAGCTCTTAAACATTAAAGTTAAATTTTGCAATCACTTCAGAGCTGAATAAGTCAGAAATCTTAACTACATACAAAGATTAAAGTATTATATCATTCTGTTAATTTTTGAATTAATCAAAGAAGCGGCCATTGGGTGAGACTGGTTGTTTGGTGAGGAATTAACTATGTTAACTACTGTAGCTTGGCAAGATCACAGGTACTTCATTTACTATCCACTGAGTACTCTCCAGAGAGTTACAAGATCTTTGAATTGATCATTGTTGAAGTGCATCGACTTTAGTGCATCTATTCATTCATTGCATACCAATCCAGCTACTTACCAGATTAATTGATGATGGCCTACAGAGTTTTGAAGTCTGCATGACATCTCACAGCTCCCCTCACTCTATATCCTCTGTCGCCTGATTTGCTGTATTTTCAGTCATACTCCATACCATAGTTTGAATCCCTTCATTTATCTTCATTCCATTTCTGTGATTGCTAGCTGACTATTCTGCTGCATTCCAAAAAGCTAGGGTTGCGAATGATGCCTGTACACTGCTCATCGGCATTAGTGTCATAGCTGGGCTTCCATCATGTCACGCACTCCTGCTGGGTTTGCTGATTTTTTTCCAACTGCACCTTCAGTACTCCAAAAGAAACGCAGTAAGGCTGCCCAAGACAGACAAGCACTAAAGTCAAGACAGTGTGAAATAACTGAAACAATACTGAACCCTGGCCTGCCAGCTCTTGAGAAAAGCGATTGTGATTGTGCGGTAGATGCCACAAGTAAGACCTGTGAGAGGGATGTCAATGATGCAAATAGCGAACCACCTCATGTGTTTTTGGGGGAACTTAACTCTGCATCAGACAATTCCAATGGAACAGAACTGCCTAGTAACACCAGCACTGGCTCGTCTGTTTACAGCTCTACTTCAGTAGTTGAACTACACCTCAGTGGGACACTCCCCTGTGCCCTCATACCACAGGCTAATCCTGATCCCTTGCCCCCTTGCAAGGTAGACGGCCAATTAAGACTCAAACCGGGGGTTGCGACTCAGTTGCCAACATGCGATACTAGCAATGGACCGGTTTTTTCAAATGTGGCGCTCTATACACCTCCAACTCCTGACATACATGCGCGACTAGTAAAAAATGATGTCTGTGGCTATAAGATAGTATATGACCCAGATCTTGACCGAAAGTCATCATTGAATGATAAACGGAAGAAAGCACAATATACTCCATTTGGTAGTAGTGGTGAGGCAGATGTCAGATCTTGTGACCCTCGAGTGACAATTGCGAATTATACGCGCGGGTCCGCTTGCAAACAAAAAACAAAATATCGCCCGACACCTTATATCCTCCGTGTTTGGCCTTACGACCCTACAAATTCTGTTGGCCCTAGTCCTCCAACTCAAATTGTGGTGACAGGATTCGATCCATTAACCCCTATTGCGCCTATAAACGCCCTTTTTTCCAGCTTTGGGGATATTTTAGAGATAAATAATCGGACTGACCCTACAACCGGCAGATTCTTGGGCGTCTGCTCTATCAAGTATAAAGATAGTCGAGCTTTGGGTGGTCTTGCGCCTGTATCTGCTGCCCAGGCTGTTAGAAGAGCCTATCTTGAATGCAAGAATGAACAACGAATTGGCACTCAAAGAATTCGAGTTGAGGTAGATCGCCATGGCGCTGTGAGCGATCGAATGGTCTCTAAGATCATTGCGGCGCAGAGAGCCGAGTTTCCATTTTTTGGAGAAATAATGAAGGTTTCCTTAAATAAAAGTGACGCCATGGTAGCAAACCTGGACACCAAAAAGCAGAGCGAACAATTAAAGGACAACCTTCCACCACCAACGGCACCCAAAGGCCCCTCTGGAAAATTCTCTGTCCATCCTTCGCTTCTACTTCAGGGAAATTGTCGAACCGTTGTCAAAACATCGGTATCTTCACGAATTGAAGAAATTCCTATTCTGCAACAGATTAAACGTGATCCATATATATTTATTGCCCATTGCTATGTCCCGGTTCTCACTACAACCGTGCCTCATCTTGAACGGCGCTTGAAGCTCTATGATTGGAAATACGTGAGATGTGACAAGACAGGCTACTACGTTATTTTTGAGAACTCACGCCGGGGCGAAATGGAAACGGAACGATGCTATAGAATGTGCCACATGACGGCTCTTTTTACATATGTTATGAATATGGAATGCCAGCCATACGGCAATCCTAACTATGAAAGAAGTCCAAGCCCGGAACGCGTGAAAGCTGAATTAGAAGAACAGGTAGCGAAAGAAAATCTACGAAAAGAGTTGCAATTAGATATCGAGGAAGAAAAACGGCTACGCGTGGAAAACTTAGATCCTGTACGGGAGGCCCTAAGTATTCTTATTTGTGAACTGAGAGATAAGTTGCTTGAGGATGTTAAATCTCGTGTTGCTGCTCCGACTCTCTATGACTACCTAGAACCTAGTCGCCACAGTGCAAAAAGACGAAAGCTTGGAATCGCAGAACCAGATGGTAGTAAACGAGCCGGTTTCAGTATTGATGCGGTATCCGCTATACATCCTCGACTTGATGCCTATTCCCGATGTCACCAAATAATTGATTCCCCTGGCCTGAATGTCCTGGCTCTCCCTCGAATAAGGAAAATTAAGGGATGGGAGCAGGAAAATGCTGTCTTCATTGATGAACGGCGCCTGGCGAAACCTAGGAAAACGGAGTTTCGCCCTCTGTACCACCGTCTTCAGCGGCTTCATCAGCAAGAGGAGTCAGAAGATGACCAGCAAATATCTTTCCTGAGAGATACCGAAGATGCAGAAAGTCAAATTCCGAGCCATGCAAGTTCGGAACCCAGTGAATCTGATAATGAAGACGATTTGATAAAAGCGGAATTGTTGACCGCAGATTTACCAAATTCGGAAGAAAACTCTAACAATGTACCAGCTACGGAGTTGAAAACCACTGCGAAAGATGCCACGAATTACATAGAGCCGGCGGATGTCCTTCCAACGTCATTAAAGAAGAGAAAAAGATTATTTCATAAACTCCCAGCTTGCAAAAAGCAAAAAAATGACCAACTGTTTTTCATCGATACAAAAGCTATTCAAGGTGATGGGGGAGTTCAGGCTCAATACCTTCCGGCACCTGGAGAATCGCTTGATACTTCAGTTTCTGAATCCGTATCGCCAACCAAAGAGAAGAAGCTTAAGATAAAGAAGACAACTACCACAGAAATTTTCGATGACGAACTATCTCTTACACCGAAAGGGATTAGAATCAAAGATACTAGCTTCATACAAGGAACACCTAACCCTATTGTTGAGGATATAGGAGCCTCATCTGAGGTTCCGGAATCGCCATTGAATGAGGTAGAATGGGGTGTGTCAACAGACGAACCACGACCCACTGTGGAGGATGATACCATGACTGTGCTTGACCTAGATGGCTGGCAGAATCTTGTGAAGGATGATGAGGATATAACATATCTTAAATTAGTCTTGTCTCATTTCACCAGGGCGAAAATTCATGACCTCACTGCCTGGGCTTGGAAACACAAAGAAATTAAGGCCATTAATCGTGGTGGTGAAAGAGGTCTCGTACATTGCGAAACTAGAGTTAGGGGCTATTATGTACCTAATCTCTCGGGTTCGGCTAGGACGGAGCCAAGAAGAAAAATCCGTGAATCAGAGAAATCGAAATATTTGCCTCATCGAATCAAAGTTCAAAAGGCTCGAGAAGAGCGATTGGCCAATGCGAAAAGCGACCCCCAGACAACTGCTGCGGAGGCAGCAAGACTTCTTGTCGCCAAATCTCTGTCGAAATCTACATCCCGCTCCACGCGTGTAAACAATCGCCGCCTCATCGCTGATATTAATGCACAGAAGCAGGCCCTTCCGATGCAAAGCGGAGACAGTGATGTTTTGAGATTCAATCAATTGAAGAAGCGCAAGAAGCCCGTGAGGTTTGCTCGGTCAGCCATTCACAATTGGGGACTATATGCCGAGGAAAACATCTCTGCCAATGATATGATCATTGAATACGTCGGAGAAAAAGTTCGGCAACAAGTAGCTGACATGCGTGAAAGAAGGTACTTAAAGAGTGGGATTGGAAGCAGTTATTTGTTCCGTATTGATGAAAATACTGTCATTGATGCAACCAAACGAGGTGGCATTGCTAGGTTCATTAACCATAGCTGTACACCTAACTGCACTGCGAAGATAATTAAGGTTGATGGAAGTAAGCGTATTGTAATTTACGCCTTACGGGATATTGATAGAGGTATGCTGTCATCCTTCCCTTTGCAGCATTCTGGATAGCTAGGTTATGGCTAATTAGACTTAGATGAGGAGCTCACGTACGATTACAAGTTTGAGAGAGAATGGGATAGTGATGATAGAATACCATGTCTTTGTGGTTCAGCAGGATGTAAAGGCTTTCTTAACTAGTCAGATTCTTTTTGGAGCAAACATGATGCTCATCAAAAATCTGCTTTTATAAATACTGATAAATACTCTGCTACTGTTGTTTCTGATCATCTTGAAGTAGAATATTCTATTATAATTTATTATGAAAATAAGAATTTGCAAAAACAAATAATGTAATTTCAGACAACTCTACTTTCATTACATGATACACAAAAATTTCTATTTTAATGCATATGACTAAATCATACAATGAAAAAGATATATTATTAGACACAATGACAATATTAATTTATGTAATTTACTTAAATGTATTTAAGTTAAATAACTATATCAACACAATGTATGTACTTAATGACAAAAGAATGATTATTAATTTATTATGAATTGTTGCTACCTGATCTATTGAGCTATGGAAAGTCTGTAAGCAATTTGATTATGCAGTTAAAAATGTCTTGTTTATTCTTCCTTCAGCTTTGTGGCTAAGCTCAAAGTGCTGACTAACTAGTCTCTAACTACTTTAGTATTATGTACAGTTTCATGTCAGTTGCTGGGAAATATTTTTTTAAATCAATGTCCTCACTGAAAACATGTGTACTGAACATATCAGATTAGAATTGATAATCATAGTAGAAGAAGTTGAAAAAGAAGAACATCTTTTCAATATTTGCTTTGTTGATTAATTTAATATGTGTCATTGGGTATAGAAACTTCTTTCATGCTAGAATAGACATGATAGATTACATTAATGCTAATAATGCATATATTTTAATTTAACATTAAGAATTTCATTTTTATTTAATATAAAGTTTTTTTATAGTTGTAGAGTGTTCTTTGAAGTTTGTTTTAGCACATCAGTATCATCAATTTAAATTAGATGTGAATAATCTTCAGCTGTTGTTTCTAGCATTTACAGACAAGCTGAATAAGCTTTTTATTAATAATTAAAAAGATATAGTACTTTGCATCTGATGAAATTATTTAGAATCAATCAACATTCTCTGTAAATATTTTATTTTTCATTTATTTTTAAATTTAGTCATTCTTAAATATCTTCTGTTGTTATAACATCATTTTCATCTAAAGATGTTCAGATTTCTATTGCTACTGTTGTAGATGATTGTATTTGAATAAATTCTTCAGAGAATTGATATAGAAAGTAAATGAGTTTATATTTTATAGATTTTAATAACAAAACTTAGTGATCTTCTTGAAGTTTATGTAATATTTCTTTAAAATAAAAATCAATTACTAATGTAATAAGAACTTCAGACACTAGATGTCATTTCTTGAATTTTAATATGTTCAGTCTTTACTGTTCAGAGAAGAATTGAAGGAATTCAAGCTATTGATCCATAATTATAATATATCAAGCATTTCTGTATTTAGTAAGTGTTGCTGATAATTCACTAAATATTACTTATTATTTAATTATTGCATCTAATTCATCTGTAATAAGAATGTTATCAGCATTTATTACTGAAAAGTTTATGAATAGATAAAAGATAGAAAACTGTATGTTTTGTAGATAAAGTATTTATTCTTCTTGAAAGTGTTGAGATACTAGTTCTTGTTCTCAGAAAAGAAGATGAGTAAAATCAGAAATATCATTACTACTAATTTTCTTTACTAAGTTTTGTAGTGATTGAGACATTGATTTATTATGTTCTGATATCTCTATAACTAATACATATTATTTCTGTATTTGAAGTTAACATTACTGTGTCATTTAATTTTGATGATAGATGACTTCTAGATGTTCCTCAATCAAGTGAACTGTTAGTATAATAGTCAGAAAATGTAGAAAAAGTTATGTTATTATCAGTGAAGAATTTATTAACATTAAGTGCTAAGATATCATTTAGTAAGTCAATCTTTTCAGCAGACTTAAGTGATTATTTACTTTCTTGAATTGCTTTTTGTTTGACTGATGTCTTTTTCTTATGTGCAATGACTTTATTACTTAAAGCTTTATGTTTGTTGATGCTTTGTTTTGATGTAAATGTGATGAAATGATCATTGATTTGAACAGTTTATTAACTAAGTGATAATTTATCATCAAGTGACAAGAAATGCAAGAATATTATCTTCTGATTTATGAAGATGAAAAATATTTTTTGAAGCTTTCATGTTGTATATTTTTGTTCAGATTTCTTGTTTTTCTGAACAGTTAATATATTTAATTGACAATTTCTTTTGAAAGTTATTCTCAGTGAGATTCTCTAGATGATTAATTGCTTTATTAATTATTGTGTCTTGTTGTTTCTGAAGCTTAAATTATAATATTGTGATTTTTGAATCATTTATGTTAAAGAAATTTTTGCTTTCATATAATCTGACTCTCTCTTCACTAAATAATTTTCTCTTCACATTTTATGTTGATTTCAGCTCTGATTAATTTAGCTTGAGTTTGTAGAAGTAAAGCAGCTACTGTTCATTGTTGCAGAATTGTAAAAGATTCATCATATTGAATATGTTCATCATTAATATTATGTCTCACTGAATTGCACTGTTCAAAGAAAAATGCTCAGACAGATTTGTTCAAAAAGAATTGCTCTGACAGATAGATGAATATAAATTCATTCATTGCAATTTTATGTAATAGTTTTGTTTTCAGTACATTTATTTATCATAATCTTGTTGTTTCATGTATCTGTGATCATTTCTAGACTGACCATAGGGATCTCTTTGGGAACTCAATGGAACAACAACAGAAAAGAATTCCATTTCTTTTACTCTCTATCTCTTCTCTGTGGGACAAGCTCATTACTCTATTCTGTTACATGTATCTAGCCAGTGTCCCATTCTCAACTCTATGAAAATTTTCTACTTTCAGTCCCATCTCTGAACATTATGATGTCATCCCATTCTCTGTTGGAATATAATTTACAAGTGAAACATTTAGAGATGGGAAATCTCATCTCTGTGCCCAGACTATTAGTAAGCTCATAGAATCATCAAATATGCACTGGGCTGTTATCAAGAATCATTATCTCTGAAATAACACACAACAAGAAAATTTTGAATTATCACCCCAAAGAGCACTCTGAAGAGCACAGAACTATTTACATTAATTTTTTTTTTTTTTATTTTTTTTTTTTAAAAAAAACCCCCCACCATCTATGACCTGCCAAAATATTGGCAGTTCAGGCAGTTCAGAAGACCATGCATCAGAGTCAAGTTGACTTAAGACAAAATAACTCACTCATGATGTGCAGTCATTATATTTCCATCTAATCCTCATTAAATATTTCATCTGCATTTCATGAAATTTACTTACACTTCAAAAATGTAATAATTATGTTCTCAACTGACATCTGTAGTGTCATCAAGACACTTTACTGCCACTGCAGTCAGAGATTCAGCTCAAAGATGATTTTACAGATCAAATACTGAAAGAGAATGAAGAGCATCATAAAGTCAACATGCTAAGAATATCAGTAAATTTCATGCTTAATATCTATTGCATCATTAGCATCAGAGTTGTTATCTTGAACTATTATCACTTACTGCCAGCAGAGATGGAGAGTGTGAGAGCAGAGCAGAGATGAATGGCAAGATATTCAGTCATTATGTGATCTGACATTGTATTAATTCAGAGCTCATCACATCAGTTTCAATGAGTGCAAGTCTGATTCAGCTCATCTTGATAGTCTGTCAGCAACTCTAATCACATTGATGTGTGGAAATAGTTCTCATTCTCCTCAATTCTTCTTTCAATTGTTAGTGAAAAAAGAATTGAGTTCATTATCTTGAACTGTTACTTACAGAAGAACTGAGTCAGTGATGTGGAGATGAAAACAGAAAATCTCTTTCTCTTTCTTCTCATCATCATCATTATTATTGTTGTTATTGTTATTGTTGCTACTGTTGCTGACAATCACACTCTCACTCATCATCATCATTATTTTCTCTTCATCATCATCATCATCTTCTCTTTATCATCATCATCATCATCATCATTCTTGTTCTTCTTCTCCCCACCACCAGCAACAATGCTGGTGGCATTGATGGTGGCCAAATTACTGACCTCCAATCTCACCAACTCAGTCAGTTTTATCTGGCTGGGCTCCAGTGGGCCATCACCTTCACCACCAACATTATCAACTGGCAGTGGGAAGTCAGCTTGGGATTCATCACAGAGAGAAGAGTTAATAAGTGTGGAGAAAGTTATTCTTTCTATATTCACACATTAGTATCTCTTCTTCATTCAATTCATCATGTATGCAATAATACTCACCACAAAGACAATGTGAATAGTTGAAGAAAGAGAAAGAGAAAGAGTTAGCATCATGTGAATATAATTATTAATAAGTAATATATGTTGCATAGCAACTCATCTCAATGACAACTGTGTAATCTGACAACAGATTGTCAACAACACTATCAACACAACAAACTGTAAATGTAAATAATAATTCTCTGACACTCTTCTCTTCTCTTTCACATTTCTCTCACTCACATCACTGTCTGTCTGTCTGTCTGCTCATTCACACACTGCAATTCTCAAGTCTGTTATCTCAATTTATTACTTCACAATGACTAATGAGAGAGTCAAGACACTTTCAGTGTGTTTAAAGACTGTTGTCATCTGTGAAAGACATTGTGCTCTGAAGAGAGTCAATGATCTCAAAAATAAAGTCAATCAGACAGATTGAAAGACTCAATACAATGCAATACATCATATGAAGAAGATCACAAAGTGGTAATGAATCTCAGTAATGAGCTTGATATCTTTGTGACAAATAGCTAATGGCTGATAGGGTGGAAGCAAACTCCAAGCAGCAACAGAAGATGAAGATGAAGATGATGAAGACTGTGATGCAAAAATAATTTGATGAGAGCAAGTTCCATGAATATCTTGAGTATCAAGAGCTCAAAGTGGTGGAGAAAAAGAAGAAGAAGAAGAAGAAGTGTCAGACAGAGAAGCTGAAGATAATGATGAGCTCTTCAGCAAAGAAGATGAAGAAGAGAGTGAATAACAGTTCAAGATAATAACTCAGT